CAATGAATGCATGTTGATTTGGTAATTGTGTTTTTGTTCCAAGTGCAATAAATAACAATGTATTTTGGTATTTCTTGTATTTAAGGTTCTTTAGCACAAAATAAGTAGAAAGTAAGCTACCATTTCTTGTTAAACAATACTATTTAATTTCAAAGTCTCATATATCTATATAATGATCAATAAATGCATGTTCATTTGGTAATTGTGTTTGTAATTGTGTTTATGTTCCAAGTGCAAGAAATAACAATGTAATTTGGTTTTTTTTGTCCTAAGTGGAAGAAATAGGAATGTACTTTGGTGTCAATAAATGCATGTTGATTTGATAATTGTGTATTTGTCCCAAGTGCAGGAAATAGCAATGTACTTTGGTATTTCTTGTATTTAAGGTTCTTTAGCACAAAATAAGTAGAAAGTAAGCTACAATTTCTTGTAAAACAAGACTATTTAATTTCAAAGTCTTATATATCTATATAATTATCAATAAATGCATGTTGATTTTTTAATTGTGTTTGCAATTTTGCTTATGTTCCAAGTGCATGAAATAGCAATTTACTTTGGTTTTTTTCCTTAGTTTAAAAATAACGATGTACTTTGGCATCAATATATGCATGTTGATTTGGTAATTGTGTTTATGTCCTAAGTATAAGAAATAACAATGTATTTTTTGTATTTCTCGTATTTAAGTGCAAGAAACAACAATGTACTTTGGTAGTTTTTGTTTATGTTGATAGCTTAACTTATAAGTTTATGTATGTTGCTATTTATTATGTAGTTGTAAAATCTTCATGCAATACTCAACGACCCGGCGTGTAGGGGAGCGGAGTTGATGGTTCGGATAATTAGTTTGTGTTTTGTACGTTAGACTTGTTGTGACATAAACACTTTTGTTGTTTAATTATTTTGGTATTTGTATTGAATTACAACATTTTGGTACCTAACTGGATGTCGTTACGTAATTTTTTTTGCATTTAATTTCGTTAACTATCAACTTTTTTTGCACCCGAAAAGTGTTGATTTAAAAAAAAATTAAAAATAATGAAAAATAATATTATCGGCGACATATACTATTACCGGGTGACAGGAGTATTACGGCGATGGAGAGTATTACCGGCGACAAGGGTATTAGCGGCGAAAAATATCTTTAGCGGCGACATCTTGAACAATAACGACACGACAGTATCGGCGACTTTTTAGAGGCGATATGTCGCCGCTGTTACTTTTACTGACGACTAATCCAACCTTTAGCGACGATTTTTGTCACCGCTAATGCCTCTTTTTCTTATAGTAAGTGGAGGAATGCTAGGGCACTAATTTCTTTTTAGGCTTTTCCTATTTTTTAGTTTCTACGGTTGTTCCCTTTTACCTCTTTGATTTTTATTGTATGCAACTTTAGGCATCATCTAAAACTTCCATGAAAGGCTCCAAGCTATCCACCCTGCCCGACCCTATATTTGCCGATGCTATGAAGAGTAACTATGAAAACTGAATCTTAGTCATTAAGAATATTAAGAAATCAATATTAAGGAGAAGAAAACGTTAAAATAAAGGAGTATATTAATTAAGAGAAACAAGTCATAAAGCATGTCAAAATCTACTTGACTCCAAACTTCTTTAAACAAAAAATTACAGACATGAGAAAACAACGAATAATTTCGATGTGCTTCTACTCATTTTGAAGCCTTGAAACTTTTTTTTATTAAAAAAAAAAGACACTAACTTTGTCACTTTCTTCTCCACCCTATCTCCATATAGGATTAACGAAGCTACCTCTGTACATTTCACCATCACCCCTCAAATTCCATTATTGACTTCTTAATTCAAGAACACCATTCGATGTTTAAAATAATGCGGGGTTCTTATGGGATCTAATGTTGATTTTTGCATCTGCATGGTCCCTTAATTAATCATCAAACTTATAAGGGAACCATGCGGTGGCATAGACTGAGTTATGACCCTTCCATGTGAGCACAATCATGTCTTCTTCGGTCTTCATTCCCCAACCACTAGCATGTTCATCTAGCAAGAATTTCACTTCATTAATCGAATTTTCACCAAATGGTACACTGAAAAACCCTAAATTCCGCATTCTTTGTGTAAATTTGGCTCCTGATTCAAGTCTTTCTATCCTTTGTCTACCTTCAAAGCCAATAATATTTTCGATTTTATGGCCAATATCGGCTTCATACTCCATTCTTTGGAAACTATCTTTTGGCAAGAAAGTTTCCAATGCATCAAATGGGATCCACAAGAAATTAAAGCATGTGGTAATTCTTGATGCTAAACTTGCTGATCCTAGATCGGAATCTTCATCTACGATTGTTAGGATACGAGGGTTCAATGTTTTCACTATCTCAAGGAATGAATCTTTTGAAGAAGCTATATCAGGCATGTAGCGTAGCCAGTTTTGGCAATTAATCACTAACGCCTCATCATTTTGTACAAGATTTTCTTGGGTTAATAGAAATTCATAGTTAAAGTTCAAGGAAGATTCTTCTATGGAAGGTGAAACTTCGATCACGTTGAATTCAAATGGAACGTTTCTAAAGTTGGCAAAATTTGTTAAACGTATACCTACTTCTTCTGTTAGTACATTAAGAAATGGGGGCACTAGTGGCCTCCATGAAGGAACTGATATGCGTAAGCTAGGAGGCCCTTCAGGCCTCTTAGCTAATGCATCGATTAGGGTTGGCCATTGCATACAATGAGTGATACTAAAGTCCAAAATATGAACTTTAGGACAACCTTGGATAGCCTTAAAAATGGCACTATTTGATGCACAAAATCCAAACCTGTGCCAAGGGATGAGATCAACGTACCCCGCCAACTCAGTCACACTCATTAGTCTCCTCTGAAAGGCACTCCTTCCACCATTGAAATTCATCGGTGTAGGGCAAACCCTAGAAGCCCTAGAGATCAGTGCCCTTAAGAACCATGACGCAAGCCTTTGGTTAGGGTCTCCAGAGGATGAAACAACGTTGTTGAGGACCCACATGACTTGTTGAGCAGAATTGATGTCGCTGTTTTCAAGTGCGTTTGCACAGTGTAGGAGAAGCTTTTCGATACAGGCTCCATCTAGATTACCTAGGCAGCTTTTTAGTGCACCTGAGAGTGGGTTTTGGTGCGAGTTAAAAAGGGTTGAATTCGATAAGGAAATTGAATTGGGGTTTGATCGAAGTTCAGCTTTCATGACGATTTCGGAAACAGATTGAGAACTATACATATATATTTCAAATCAGATAATTTTTATGCTTGGAAGGTCCATGGGTATGGTAGAATTAAGGATTTGAGTATTTGTTGGGAAGAAGAAGTTCAAACCTTAAGAAGATGAAAGAATCTTTTAGTACTCTAATCATGGAACATACAAGTGAAGAGAAGGCTATATATACACGTATATACTGGGTGATAGCCGGATGATAACAAAATTATTTGCACGTATGAAAATAGACAAAACTTTATATAGAAACTCGACAAATATGATTAAACTTCATGTGTATTGAATATATTTTAATAACAATAGAATGAAATAAACAGTTAATAGTAGATAGAAAAGTAATTTTAGATAAAAGGCCTGCTAATAATTGTGTTATTTGACGTTGAAATAGCTATTGTATAAATTTTAGGCAATCCATACAAAAAGTATCATATTTTGTATACAAGATTTACCATTATATAATATCATATATCAGTTGTTTTGGTTTATCACCAACATTTGTGTCCAGATGTATGAATACGCATTTTCTATACTTCACAGTTTTTCAATAGTTATTTAACACATCTGTAAGAAAGAGATGGCACAAAGACCAAAATACAAAGACGCACCGCCTAAAGAATCTCGAGGGACTACTCTACCTGAAATGATATAGATAATAGTTTATTCACATTGATAAATTATTCCTAATTTGATGTGTACATATATAACATTTAAAAAATTTATAATCATAGATAAACTGTATCTAAATTATGTGTCAGGATCTTATAATAAGACGAAAGGAATTGTATCGACAATAGAATATAGATGCTCCGTGATGGAAGGGGAAGGAAATTAATTGTTGTATCTGTTCAACTCAAAAAGCTACAAACAAAA